TTTAACTGATAGCTTTGATAATTGGTAAGAGAAAATAGCAAATACTACATGGCAGCTAACCTGCACCACAGTGTTCTGTCCTTCTCACGTGATTGACTATTTACATCACCTTTCTCCCCTTATTCTATTTCTCTCTCTTCTCTGCCCATTGAAAACAGCCATGCACTCTCCTCTGCCACTGACTCCCCCTTGTGGAAGGATCATAGTGCTCCTATTTCCATTCATGCAAACTAGTTGCTTTTAGGCGAAAATCGCCATTATGTCTAAAAATATGTCATTCGCGTGAATCGTGGAGATCCAAATATTTTTTTGGGGGGGGGGTGAGTTGGTGCTTAATGAATGAATGTCACAAGATCGTTAATGATTTTCAGCACGGCACTATATATCTTGATAGTTAAATATAAAAGAAATGATGGTGGTGACCATGGAGGTTAGTAAAGCAAATCAGGGACTAGTCAGACAAATAGAAAACCAAAAATAATTATACAACTAGCTCACGCCACGCCTCCTGAGCTACAGTGCGCAGCTGGACCCTTTTCTAATGAGTGGACAATTCTTTTGGATTTTAATGTACAAATGAAATGCTTGGTGATTATACAGAAGGTAGGTGGTTCGCATGTTGGTAGGTGGTTCCCAGTTTTTTATGTTAATTTCTACAAATGTGAAAAGCCGTAAATTAAGACACAAAAGGCAAGTGAACAATCCTATCTGTAATGATTCTGAGGTCATATTAACAGGATTTCCCCTGCCATTATAAGGTTTAGGTGGTGAGGCTATAAAACAGCTTGGATGCTGTGCCATGAGTGTAAAGTCATTTTGGACAACATCAAAACTAACAAAGTGACTTTTCCCCAATTTAATAGTTATAGTTCTTACCCAGTAGATTTCTTTTGCAAGTTTTGTTTTTAGGGTGTAGTTTATTCAAAATCCGCTCAAGACTTATTCAAATGTGGTAAAATTATGTGGAACTGCATGTTTATTTATTGGAATACATAACATTTTCTTGGTAGAGGAACTCCAAACTCACCAGCAAAATTTGTTTGCATACATACATGTTGTTTTGGTATTATATATCCAGATATGAAGCAGGCGCACTTTGCAAGCGACAGAAAAAACAAGTGTTCTTAACCTCTGGTGCTACAACACCATCCTAGTGGAATCACTGAATAGTAATTTAAGTAAACTCAATATTGCAGCCATTATATCTATGAAGCTGAAACCAGACACGATAACACTGAGGAACAGTTGAAAATGCCTTTTATTTTCTTCTCAGAGTACAACAGAATGCTTCATTTACAGGGGCAAACGTGTCACCTTTTTCTTCCCATCTGAGTTTGCATGTATGTATTTCTATTCCTGTCCACACTGTCCACATAGTGTTACAATTCTTGCAATAACACCCTACACAGCAAAATTAATAATTTAAAGGTTGCATATTCTAAAAAAATTTAGGGGCCAATACGGCCAAAAATGTAAAAAAAAATAAAATAAATCATGTAATTTGATATTGATAATTATCACTATAAATGTCAAATCATTATTTCTTTCCAATTTAAAGGCGGATTTTTGCTCCTGAGTGAAAGTTGAAGAAACCAGATAAATCCATGTATTGTTCATTCGTTTATCATTTGGTTTCAAAATGTTTATCTATCTCGGAAAAATATTGATTTTGATATTTAATGTCTGCTGAGCCAGAGGAAGAGTAGAATACAAGTGGTAACACAATATTCTGCCCACAACACCCACAAAGTTTTGTGTATGTTGTAGACTCTAGGATACAAGGCACCAACTTGGACCCCTTTATTTGCCAATAAGTGCTCGTCAGAACCGTGTTTTAATGCCGAACTTTGCTCCAAATGTGCCCACTATGGTGTGCCATTTAAATAATTACCGAATTAGCCCATCATTTCAATTTTGTATCATTCATTCATATACAGTTCACCGTTTTAAATAATAACAGTTAATTTTTGCTGTGTACCACTGGATGTACAGACAACTATCATGAATTACTTTGATACTGAAAAAAATCTTAAAAAACAGAGGATTCTCAGGCAAGTTCGGAAGCACTGTTGCCAGTCCATTGCAGGGCCACACATAGACCATAAACCACTCACACTCACACCTAAGGACAATTTTAGGGTCACCAATTAACCGCATGTCTTTGGATGGTGTGAGGAAGCCGGAGCAATCGAAGAGAACCCACGCAGACACGGGGAGAACATGCAAACTCCACACAGAAAGGCCGGGGCAACCGGGGTTTGAACCTTCTTGCTGAGAGGCGACAGTGCTAACCACTGCATCAGCGCGCCGCCCTGGCCGTGATATATCTGGCACAAAAATAGTTAGTTAGGTGGAACGTTGCTCGAGAGTTACTTTTTATGGCATGGAGCCATTTTGCCACAGTGCACGAAAAACCATCCATCATCAACCGCTTACCCTTCGTACAGGGTCGTGGGAAGAAAACCATATGAAACGTAAATTTTCATGTTTGAATTTTGTGCGCAATTTTTTGACTTTTCGTGAACCTTTAGGCCATCAAAAATGCAATTCAATGTGTGAAATAATTTTTTTTTTTTACATTAATTTCTCGCTAGAGGTGTGCATCTTTACTGCTCTTTCGAATCGATTATGATTATCAGGTCTTCGATTTGATATCTCGATGCATCACCTCAAGGAATTTGTCGGTACCTCATTAAGATTATGAGTGCTACGATGTGATTGTAAAACAAATATGATAAAGGTGTCTTTTTCTCACTGTGTGAGTACAATCTAAACAAGTAGGTAGTAATGAAATGCAGATATTTAATGTTACTTCATATAAATGTAGCTACCATTGCATAGCAGCAATACATTATTACAGTGTTATTACTGACCTCTGCTGCTGCTATTTGTTTTATTTCTGATGTTGCTGTTATTAGTACAAAGTTAGATACAGGTTGAACTAAGCACTTTACAATGCTCCAGCCAAACCACGTTCACTCCACCTTAATATATCTGTTCCTTTTTTTTTTTTGTCTTGTCTAGTGTAGTTACATGTTTGTGTCCTGTAAGTTGATTATTGTCTTTTCGTTCATTTGTGTACTCGATATGTGGATGAATGACAACAAACTAGCTGCCAAAAAACGTCCTGCTCAGCTTCCAGGCCGCAGTCTGAAGAGGAGATGTTAACTAGTGCTATCTGCCTTCACTTTTCCAGTAGTTGGAAAACAACAGACAGACTTTAATAAACGGACACACTGTGACCTACACTGCACATTTACTGCCACACTGACACGTAGCGTTCATGTTTTCCTCTGCTCCTCTGTGAACAGGGAGAACCAGACGTCTTCGTTGTGTGCCCAGCAGACAGTCAGAAGCTGCACTTCCACATTTCCGAGTTCCACCTTTTTCGTTCCATCAACATTATGTTATCAATTAACCTCTAGATAATCGATTATTATTATTTGTTAATCAATTCATAATCGTTCACATCGCGATGCATCTAAAAATCAAATATTCTCCACACCCCTACTTCTCGCATGTTTCATGCTCGGCCCTTAATAAACTGCCAACTCTGTGGCGTTGAGCATGGGACTCACACAATTGACACAGCAGCAGTAGGGGTTGTGGCAGCTGTGGCTCAGGAGGCTGAGCGGGTTGTCCTTTAATCGGAAGATCGGCGGTTCAATCCGCGAAGTGTCCTTGGGCAAGATACTGAACCCAGAATTACCTCTGGTGGCTGTGTGAATGTTAGTTTCTGTTTGAGCTGTTAGGTGAATGTGTGTGAATGGTGAATGCAGATGGAGTGTAAAAGCGCTTTGAGTGGTCGAACAGACTAGAAAGGCGCTATACAAGTACGGACAACTGCACTTTGTGACTGTGAGCTGCACTTTATCAGAGGAGCTGAAGTTAACCTGTGTGGATTTGAGTTGAGATTTCTGCCTGATTGGTTTCAGTTGGTTTTGGTTTCCACCAAAACAGTCCCAAACTGGGTTCTGTGTCTGTCAGACGCTCTGGAGGGCGTACTACCACACAAGCAGAGCAATAGGCTTTTAAAGCAATATGATTTCTTATTAAATGATGACGTTAGTTATTATTACGACTGTTTTCTGAAAGGTTTTCTCATTGAGGTGAAAAGGTGCCTCATGCACATTTAAAGAGGTTTGTTTTACAGTAAAAGGAGGAATACAACTGTCATAGTGCTTTATCATGATATTGAGTACAAATGTGTTTTGTATATTTTGAGTGCAGGATGAGGATTTCTTTGTGTAATTATTTTTCTTGGTCTACAGTCAAATTTCTGAAACAGTTCACAAACTAACAACAACATAGCATTATATCTTGTCACAAGGTAAGCAGGTAACTTACCTGTTAATTAAACTTGACATTATAGAACATTATAGGCCCTAGTGTGGGCAAGCAAATGTATAGGGTTGAAAAACTTTCTAATTAACAACTACTAATTTAAGTTTGCTAGTGTATGCTATCATTATGGGTGTCACTAGTTTCAACATATTGTTTATTCTGGACTTTGCACCCTAACTTAAAAATAATAATAATAATTACTGATTCTTACAAAGAGACTTACAATTGCTAAAGCCTCTATGTCAGAGGTTGCACGCCTCTGGAGCTACTAGGGGTTAAGTGTATTGCTCAGGGACACCATTGGTGGATGTCCCAATGGGAATCGACCCGGGTCTCCCACACAGCTTGAGATTGAATTTCCGTATAGACTTGCTGGTGTAACGTAATACCGTGATACTGCCAAAGCCTAATCTGTCTCACCCTTGATTTTTAGATTTTAGGGTGTCTCTCACAGAGGGGTACAGCATAGTCTTTCATCTGAGAGCTCCTTTTTTTTATATAGTTGTGTCATGGTGACATTACGCCCTTATATTTCCAGGTTTAATTATGCAAGTCAATATGGTGTTCTTGTTGACCACATTTGAAATGTATCCATACATACAGTATAATTGTTACTGATCCTGCAGCATGTTTTTCCTTTTTTTGTCATTGAACAGTAGGAGAGATTCTTCCAAGTGACTCCCTGGAGGTGCCAAAGAACCCGCCATGTCAGTGACTGTTCATGAGAATCGTAAATCCCGCACCAGCACGGGCTCCATGAACATCTCACTCTTCCACAAGCCTTCACATCCCGATAGTGTCCTGACCCACCTGAACACAATGAGGAAACAGTGCATGTTCACTGATGTCACTCTATGGGCCGGAGATCGGTCCTTCCCATGCCACAGGTAAACACATGCTGACAACATTTGTGCATTTCACTGCTAACTTTCATCAGACACAGCCATCCCACTACTACAACAGAGAGTAACAGCAACAAACTTTTCTAGAGATGTTTTATATTCTCTTTATAAGACCTGCCATTTTTGATCACTGACAAAATGCTGTGTTTGTGTCTTGCAGGGCTGTCTTAGCAGCGTGCAGTTGTTATTTTGAGGCCATGTTCAGCGGAGGGCTACGAGAAAGTCTGGATAGTGACGTCAATTTCAGAGACAGTATACACCCTGAGGTACTACAAACTAAAGAAAATTAAACCTTATTTTTCCTGTTGAACATCAAAGCCTCTGTGTGCTTGCTCAGACAAAGTGTGATAAAGTGTAATGTTGAATTGTATTGGAAAGCTCCTTGGATGAGTGCATTTCCAATGATTTTTGTAAAACCAACCTGAAGCCTATGTACACTTTCCTCAAGTGGTCTACATATTCTCTGAGCTTTTTGTCACACGTTCTTTTGCTCTTGTTCTCTTGTCTGTTTTAGGAGTCAGGTTCGCAGACAGCAAAGCCTAACTTTGTTTTTAACATTAAAAAAACGACAATCCCTCATTGGGGTGGCTGCGACTCAGGGGGTAGAGCGGGTTGCCCGTTAATTGGAAGGTCGGCGGTTCAATCCCCAGCTCCTCCAGGCTGCATGTTGAAGTGTCCTTGGACTGAACCCCGATTTGCCCCTGGCAGCTTTTCCGCCAGTGTGTGATAGTTTCTGTTTGAGCACTTAGTGAGCGAATGGTGAATGCAGTTGTAGTGTAAAAGCGCTTTGAGTGGTCGAAAAGACTAGAAAGGCGCTATACAAATACGGAGCATTTACATTCAAGCAGAAGCTTGGTCACTGCTCTCACTGAGGTCGTGAGATGCATCCCTGAATTATTGCTTGTTTTGGACCAGTCACAAAGGAGTTAAACATCACTTCCTGTTTTCCCTAGGTGGCGCTAGACAACACCCGCCAATTATGTTTTCCATCAGTACATGAAGTGTGACCACGTAGTGAAAATGCTGTCAATCAAATAATTTTCAAGATGACGTGACGCCTACATTTTCTGTCCTTTTTTTCATTTAAAAAAAAAAAAAAAAAAAAGGTTGAAAGCATAAAAACACACCATATAAATAGAGGACCTCTCCCATAGATGTACTGACTTTAACTTAAAAAAACAGTTTTTCAAAAAGTTTTTTGTAATTTTTCTGATTATTGAAGTATCACAATGTCATGACTGTCTGGCCTTGACTGCTGTTTTGAAAACTTCTTTGAAATTACTTTAAATGGGTTTTGCCCTATTTGGCATGATTTCCAAAGTGTTTTGTAGTCCTCTACAAAATCGCAAAGCATCTGTATTTATATTTCCATAATAATACACAAGCAAACTCCGATGATGTGGATTTTATGAAATAACGTGGTGCGGCCATCAACAAACAACCATTTTGGGACTTTTATGTTGAAATCCATTAGAAGACAGGAAGTTGAAAAATATACCAATTTGCCAAGGACCCATTAAAACTGCAACTTTTACATATAAAGTACTTTTATTGTAGCATGATTTGGAATATGGATTTTCTGCAGTTTGACACACTTTTTCTTATATTTCAGAAACAACAGATTTTTTTTGAAGTCTTTGTGCAATATCATGAGAAAAATGCAAAAAAATAAAAATAAAAATAAATTTAGAGCTTGTAATGTCACTTTGGTAACTATGCAATATAAGTAATATTTAATTATTTACTGTTTTACCAGTTGTTCAGTTCAGTCTTTATTGTCCCACCTGGGGAAATTTGATTTGCAATAGGGTTAAAACAAACATACATGAGACATAAACAAAGACAAAGTTGCCACTGCCAAATAAAGAAAAACTGCTCGCCATGTACAGCTTGTTAATTCTGACCCTGCAGCAAGAGCGGAGTCGCTTAAAGAAGAATTTTACAATGAAAACTAAATGAAGCAACATGTTGGTCTTGTGTGTGTTTCCAGGAGGAAATGCATTTTTTATGAACATGTTGGTGTAGCAGCCCGCCCTCACCAGAGAAACGGTCGTTTTGGTCGATTTATTACGACCCATGTTTACATTTTTAGCAACCTCTATTGGCTGTGGCAAACCCGGGACTTTGATGCTGGAGAACCGCATTCGATTCCCATGTGAGTTCAAGTAAATGTAGAGTTATTTCAATGACAATGGTGGTACCTTGAACATCCTCTTGCGTACATCAGTGCACTGGACTTCACTTTTAAACATGGCTGCTGATTGGGTAACACCTCTGACACACCCAATAAATGAGAAAAGCATACATGCAGTTAACACCACATGCCTGCAGTTAATGTAATTAGATTAACTCTATTGTCAAGTTATATGTTTGTTCAAAACAAAGCCGTAAATGTCAAAATAAATGTTTGCAATGTGATTTTCATTAAAAAAATGTTTGTATTCACAAAATTCTGTAAAATTTTAATAACATCTGGTTAAAATATATGTTGGTGTAGGATTTTTTGTTTATTGATCTCTTTAAATATATATTTATTTACAAAAACCCAAGAGAAAAGCAAACGCATTGTATCTAAAACCTTCTATATTGCATGTTAAAGAAATAATTAAAATAAATTATGGTCGCATCACATGACATTTGGTAAGGCCACAGACAGTTTATGTAGATGAAAAAACACTAAAATCATCTTCTGATTGATTCTGTAGGAGGAGTTCATTAAAGTACGGACCCTGTAAAAAGCCATAAATGGGCTGAAATTGTACATTCAAATCAAAATGACTTCCTGTTGGGTTTTGCCTGTGACTCCAGGAGGCTTTTATGTGCGTCTTCAGATGATACATTTACCTAAACAGCTTCGTGCAGGTAGGTGAGACAGGGCACTGAGGCTTCATTGTTGAAGGTTCACTTCCTGCTGCCAGCAGGTGGTGCTATAAGTGAATTTTGGCCTTTAGATGTGTTCAGGGTGTGACCGTTATCAAACTGAGACTTGGTTGAGATTTGAGGCGAAGCATTGAACTTTGTCACCATGCCTCTGACAAGCTGTTACACGAAAACTCACAAGCTTCACAACATCAATGTATTAAGGCTCTTCTAGGACTATTTTGAGGTGGGTGTGGTCAACCTGCTGTGCGTAGTACATTAAAGGGGTGAAATTTAAAACTTCTTGTTGCCAGTGGGTGGTGCTATGACTTTGAATGAATATTTGCATATGGACGTGTTCAGGGTGGAACTCTGAATTCTGGTACAGATGTGTGCATGAACACTGAAGTTAAAAAAACTTACTGTTTCATGGCGAAACATGAATTTTCAACGCCATATCACGGACATGCCCATCGATGAAAACTCACAGATAGCCCAAATTTCCATTGTCAATGCCTTTAGATTGCAAAGCCAAAATTTGAAGTTGATCGGATTAATTCCCTTGGAGGAGTTCATTAAAGTACATAACCTGTGAATCTTAAAAAAAATTAAAATAAAAAAAATGGCCGACTTCCTGTTGTGTTTAGGGGATCACTCCTTGAGGCTTTTTTGTGGGTCTGGACATGATGACAGCTGCCCGAGGTCGCTAGACGCGCCCTGATTCTCACGCGTTATGGACCGGTCACAAACCAGTCAAACTTGCTGTGTCCCCTAGGTGGCGCTAGACAACACCTGCTAATTATACGTTGTGTAGCAGTGGCTGAAGTGTGTACCACACTATGAAAATGCCATTTAAAGCAAATGATTTTTGTCAGAAAGGGCTTATTCCCTGTTGCCAATGGGTGGCGCTATGACATTGAGTGAATATTTGCATGTAGACATGTTCAGGGTGGGACTCTTATCAACCATGTAAAGTTTGGAACAGATCTGAGTAGGGATGAAACAATATGAAAATTTCAAATCACGATTATAGTGACCAAAATTATCACGGCTGTCAGTATTATCACAGTATAGTAAAAATGTGCTGAAAAAGATTAAAATGTACTGAGACACACACACACTGAAACCATTTCAACAAGTTTTATATTGAAAACTACAAATAAAATTGCCATTTTGTTTGCATAAACAATAAAATGACAATCAATACCTTTTCTAAACATGTTTCTGTTTGTATGTGTGTTAGTATAGGTTCTTGAGAAAATATCAAGACACAGTCTTATGTTTTTTGAGCACCTTTATGCCGTTAAAATTGCTATTCATTTGGAAGAAAGAATAATAATCATTACAATTTCAATAGGGTCCTTGCATGTTTCATGCTCAGGCCCTAAAAAATAATGTTGGCACTTACTTCCTGTTGTCAATAGGTGGTACTACCACTATAAATGAATTTTGGTGGGTAGATGTGTTCGGGGCGGGGCAGTTATGAAGCACGTAAAGTTGGGTACAGATTTGAGCAAGTTACGAAAACTGCCTGTTTCACAGTGGAGCATGTAACTGCCACCTGTTAGGAGACGGGACAGAAAGGACCCAAACGCAACACTCAGAGGGAAGGCGGTTTTATTGAGGATTCACGGAGGGGGCTAGGTAAGAGGAGAGGTGGACGCCAGGGGACGCGGGCATGGAGGACCGAGGAGCAGGCGCCGTGGAGGAAGCCCGAGAGGAGAGGACCGGAGGATGAGCCCAGCCGACTGAACGGATGACGAGGGTGAGTGAACCCGGGAGGGAAAACAGACAGAAAGACAGGGTTAGTGACTGGAACGACAGAACGCAGGGAAAATGAGAAAAAACAAGGAACATGAGAGCCTGGACGTAGAGGTGGCACCAGGTAAGGAGCAACGACGATCAAGTGAGGATGGTGTGGAGAACCGGGGTTGAAATACAGGCTGGGATGAGGTTGATTACTGGCAGGTGTGGCAGGCTGACGAGGTGGCTGATGAGGTGCAGGTGTAGGTAGTTGGCTGGGCTCAGGAGCCGAGGGAGAGAGGAGGAGAACACAGGGAGGCAGGCAGAGCAAAACAATGGGTGAAATAAAGTGAGAAAAAAAAAGTAAAACCAGGACACCCCGTTTCCCACGTCTCTAGAATCAAGCCTGTCACCACCAGCTCCCTCTCCATGCCAGTGGCAGCGCCTCCCCCTCCACGGATGATTGATGGTCACCCCGCCTACACGTTGCGCCGGCTCCTGGACGTGTGGCGTAGAGGTCGGGGATACCGCTACCACAACGTTTTCTGAACTGACTTTTTTTTTTTTTCATGCACTTTTCCATCAACAAATGATCAAATTTAAGGCATTGCCCTGCAGATCCAAAGATTGATGGTTGGAATTCTGGTCACAGCATGTTAACTTCAATACTGACCTGGGGAAATATTTCTGTGAAAACCATTTAAATTTTGAGGGCCTAAACCTTCATGAGAACTTTGAACACACGGCAGGCAGGTCAACAGCCAACAGGAAGTCGGACATTTTGGATTTAATTGTCACATTTGGCCATTTACACACTTTGCACTTTAATGAACTCTTCCTAGAGAATTAGTCCATGCGACTTCAAAATTTTGCTGTACGGTCTCATCCCATTGATGATTACACGTTGTACAAATGGTGAGTTTTGGTTGACCGGGGGAGCCTGTGGTGTGGAGCGGAATATCAATGATTCGCAACGAAACGGGAAGTTGTTATAACTTAAATGTACATGCTCACATCTGTATCAAAGTCTATGTGATTGAAAATGATTCTGCCCCCAACACTTCTACATGCTAAAATTCAGTTATAGTCATAGCGCCACTTACTGGCAACAGGAAGTGTGCCCTGTGTGCCATTAAAAGAAATTTTCTCAATGTGTTCCATACATGATATACTGGGCCATAACATATCATTGCTGGGTGCTCCTTTGCACCACATAGAGGACACAGGAAGTGACTTTTAACCCTTGTGTTGTTTAAATTATCACCCAATTCTGTGTTACACCTTCTTAGCCAACTTCATTCCAACTCATTATCACTAGTTTTATACTTTTTTTTTAAAATTCAGGGTCAGGAAATCTCATTTATTTGAAAGTATGCCTGGGCATGCCATAAATTGGCCGTGGCTTCTTTACTGGATTAGTAACAGCGAGCAACAACAGACGCAAGTATGACTGCTGAGGTATTTGATCCACCTTTGCTGTACACGTAATGCTCCTGTTGTTTGTCATGTCCAGCACCATCTTTTCAATTTGCTCTGGCAGAAAACATCTTATCTGTTGAAGCATATTCCTCATCTTCTTTACAGTTTTGCTCATTTTTTAATAAATCCTTTGCTTCTGCATTTTCCTCTTGGTCTCTCTCCTCCTCAACAGGGTTCCAAATTCATTCTAGAGCCTCTGACACAGTATACTATGGTAGACTACGATAGGGAGCCCTCTTTATCCTGTTGTCTCAGACTAAAATGGCTAAAAAGCTTCAAAAGCTCAGATTTATCAACAAGGAGTGGTAGGAGCACGTTTACAGAGATGCGCTTACACTGAACAAAATTATAAACACAGCACTTGTTTTTGCCCCCATTCATAATGAGCTGAACTCAAAGATCTAAAAGTTGATGATACATGGAGCATCTTTTAGAGCAATCGTGCAGGGCAACATTGCCGTCAGTGATAATGAGTAAAGATTACTACCGTAATCCCTTTCCCCACCATTCCACCACTCGCCCCTATCCGTTCAAAACATAGTCGGACTTGCCACTAGCAAGATTGCCCAGCAACATTGCTCAAAAAGTTGCCCCATGTATCATCAGCTTCAGTCTGTATGTACACAAAACGCACCATCCTTGACGTAAATCCACGACTGTGCGGCAGCTCAGCGGCACCGGACTTTGTTGTTCATGTCCGCTGATAGCCGAACACGAAAGAAAGAATGAAGAACAAGGGAGAGAGGCGTTCTTTCCACATCTGTAAGTAGCTGCTGCCAATATTGTGTCACAGTTCCGAAAGTTAGTTGTCCAAAGATATTAAATGACTTAAGACCAGTGTCTCTCACATCGATTTTAATGAAAATTTTCGAAAGATTTGTGAGATCTGAGATATTAAAGACGACGAGTGTTTATTAGATCCAATGCAGTTCACTTATAGATCAAAAAGAGGTGTAGAGGATGCAACGGTCACCTTGATACATCTGCTTTTGAAACATTTGGAGGGGAAGGGGTCTCATGCAAGGCCTCTATTTGTAGATTTTTTCCTCTGTTTAATACGATTCAACCTCACATTCTAGTAAGTAGACTTTTTAACAGTTCAAACTGAGTAATAATTTAGTCGGATGGATTTTAGATTTTTTGACTGAGAGAACACAAAGAGTGAAAATAAATAACACAATCTCTGCACAGGTTACTTCACCACAAGGATGTGTACTTTCTCCACTACTGTTTATTCTCTACACAAATATGTGCCATAGTCATTTGGAAAATTGTTTGAAATACGCAGACGACACGGTAATTGTCAGTCTGCTTCAGAATAATGAGAACAGTCACGGAACTATTATTAATGATTTTGTTGAGTGGTGTTTTCATTTAAATTTAAATGTACTGAAGACCAAGGATATGGTTATTGATTTCAAAAGGAATGTCTATATGCATGAAGTCACATCCATTAAGGGTCAAACAGTGGAGTGTGTGCAGACTTACAAATACCTTGGGACAATCATTGATTCAAAGCTGAGTTTTGAAGCCAACTGTGAAATGGTGTGTAAAAAGGGTCATCAACGTCTGTTCTTTTTAAGGAAATTGAGAAAACACTGTTGATTATGTTTTATCGTGCTTTTATTGAATCCATACTCTCCTTTTCTCTGGTATCTTGGTACGGGAACTTAAAGTTAAAGAGTCGGAACTCTATTAACCAGATTGTGAAATGGTCCAGTAGGTTGATTGGGGAACCACTACTGAACCCAGCAATGGTGGCTCTACCTGGTGGTCATATTCAAGACCGACTCCATGCTGCTACAGTGCTGAATCGTCGGGGATTGTAACAAGTCCTATTTAATGAATCTGATTTAAGTTAAAAAGTCAGGAGAGAATGCTTTGTTTTGGGGTGAAGGGGGGGTGGTAGGGAAAGCAGTGTTTCCCATAATTAGCCTATAATTTTGATAATTATCAATGCAGACTGCCACATATTGATTTTCCAAATTTTTACTAGACATATTTAAAATCATTTTTGATCAAGGAGCTGTATTGAGGATCATATTCGTGAAGCACTTCCTGGCTCGCTCCCTCTTTCTCTCTCTCTCCCTCCCTCTCTCTCGTGAACACTGCTGTACAAACCTGTCCAACTAACTAACTAATTACTTTTAACACCCAGTAATAAGTAATGTAATATTTTTTAAGGAGTAATAAGTAACTAGTAATATATTACAATTTCTGAGTAACTTGGCCAACACTGCTCACAGCAGAAGGTCGTGGGTTCAAACCCCTGTCGTCCCGGCCTTTCTGTGTGGTGTTCTCTCCGTGTCCGCGTGGGTTCTCTCTGGGTGCTCCGGCTTCCTCCCACTGTCCAAAGACATGCAGGCTAGGCTAATTGGTAACTCTAAATTGTCCTTAGGTGTGCGTGTGCCTGGTTGTTTGTCTATGTGTGGCCCTGCGATGGACTGGAGACCTGTCCCCGCCTTTCGCCTGATGTAAGCTGGGACTGGCTCCAGCCCCCCGCGACCCTGTACTCAGGGTAAGCGGGTGACGATGGATGGATTGTAGTGAGAGCACTGTGGTGTTCAGGACTGGGTACTGTACACATGGTGTAGAGTACCAAGTACCCACGGTGCTCCAGTAGATAGCACTGTGGCCTGAAAGCAGAAGGTTGTGGGTTCAAACCCCCAGCTTTTCTGTATGCGACTCTCCTTCTCCTTCTTCTCCTTCTCCTTCACCTCCTCCTCATCCTGGGACTCTGGAATGGTGGGATTTTCCTTCATATCCTTCATACTTTCTTTTGCCAGTATGGACGTGAAATACTGTAGGTCTTAAATTGCATTCATTATGGAATGAAAAGGGTCTTGAAATTTTTAATTAAAACGGAAACACTGTTAACAATACTACTTAATTCTCTACTCTTTCAGGTCTTGGAGCTTCTGCTGGACTTTGCCTATTCTTCTCGAGTCATCATTAATGAGGAGAATGCGGAGTCATTGTTAGAGGCAGGGGACATGTTGCAGTTTCATGACATCCGTGATGCAGCCGCAGAGTTTTTAGAAAAAAACCTGCACTCCTCCAACTGCCTGGGGATGATGGTCTTATCAGATGCTCATCAGTGTAAAAGACTGTACGAGCTGTCGTGGAGGATGTGTCTGTTACACTATGAGACGGTAAAGATGACTTGTTTCCTGGTTTCTTGCACTAAGTCATGTCCTGGTGTCCATCAAATTACACTTGCCTAATCACTGACTTCAGCTTTGACGAAGACAGAATTCAGCCGAAAGTGTATGCTGTGCTATTCCATAGAATGTAGCCATAGACTGTATATAAGAAGTGGATGTGGTCATTGTGACGTTCACTTTGTGGACTGCCGTTTTGAAGCCTCCAATTTGGCCAATAGCGCGCCTCCCAGTTGAGTTTTTGCAACCAGCGGCCCCGGACGTGACCATATTTGGACAAGACGCTAGGTGCATATGTAATTCACGTTAACCGGGGTGATAATTTTGTCTAGAGAGCAACAGTCTTAAAACTAAATGTACTCACCAGAGAAAGTGAACAGCCAACTCTTAATAAGCCTTTTCAACGGCGATGGTTAAATTTGTACAGTGCCGTGGGTACGAGTCACTCTAGCCTGACTGACTTGTCCGTAGAGATCATAGATAATCCCACCCTGAAGCATACTCTGCTTTATGGTCTATTTTCATCTAAATGGGACCATTATATACTGAATGAACATCATGTTGTATTGAAGAAGACATGAAACTAGTGATTGAGACCATAAATTCATTAGGAAAATTTTACCATTATTTTTAATGGAACCGGACTTATTTTAGCAAACAAAATAATCGCCCCCTGCTGGCCGTTCGATAGAATGCTGGTTTAAGGGACTTATGCGTTTGCATCAGTTCTCTGATTGGAAGCTTCCCGCTTAGCTATTACAGCTGGACTAGTACCTGTGATTTAAAAAAATAAAATAAAATTCTGATTCTTTTCTGAGTGTTGAACATCTTCTTAACTTCTATAACTACTGGTTTGGTTGACCCTTCTGTAGAAAAACATAGACTCGGTGACTGTGTGCCAGAGGTTAGATGTAGTACTAACCATGGCCGACTGTGATAATGTGACAACATTCTCTGACATACCTCTTTTCAAGCCTTATAATAAATAAAATAATAATAATAAACCAAAAAACATTTTATTTTGAATAGGGCTATCCCCGACTTAGGATTTACACAGTCGAATCAGAATCTTGCCTATAGTTGACTGTCTGATCGACTGAGTCATATGTCTGTGTTGTGCCGATTGTGCGGGGGAGTTACACACAAAGTAACTCCGCTGTTATCTTGACAAGTTGCAGAGCTGCAGTCTCTATTCATTACTTAGTGTAACTTACACTGTACATGCATTGAACAAGATGGCGCTGCGTATAGCTGCCTCGGTACAGTGTGTTAGGTGTGCTCTGTTAGGGGTCCAAGCCCAAAATGTCCTGATTATAAGCTAACAAATGTTTGAGAAAGATGCTAAAAACAGGAAGTGATGTCATATCTTAGGTTTGGAATGGCCAATCGACACAGCATGGTCTCCTGACTGCAGGCACCAAAGTTGAAAATATGCCCATAGGCGGCGCTGTTACTCTAGATTAAAGACGTCAAAAAAATCCCATTTACTTACATGCATTTTATATTTCCATAACCACGAGTCCGATTGATACCAAATTTGGGTAATTTGTTCCCCATTTGCCCCCCCATTTAGTTTATAATTAGGACATTTTTTGTCAGATCAAAATTTCCTTTTATCAGCTTGGTCCAGAGATGGTCTGTGCCAAGTTTGGTGCCGATCGGACTTGCCGTTTCAGAGGAGTTAATCAAGATAGGTTTTACAGTTTTCACGATTTAGTGAAATGAAAACGTAATCGCACAAAAGTCCTGTCCTATACCATACGAATCGGCAGCATCCCCCAAACACGTATATATAACGTTTATGAATGTGTGCTGTAGTGAGGCCAAACTTGGAGGGCTAATGTGGCATGCCCCCCTGAGGGGCTGTGCAAAATTTGGTGCAACTAACCCCTAGGTGGCGCTATTTACCCTGAATAATTTGTTCCAATTATAAGCTAAACAAATGTTTACGAAAAACGGTAAAAACAGGATGTGATGTCATATCTTAGGTTTAAAATGACCAATCTACACCAGACCTGGGGACCTTATCTGGCACAACTTCCCAAGGAGCTGTATGAAATGTAGTGTCAATCGGCCTCTAGGTGGCGCAATTAATCATATATGAAAGAACATTTCTATAGATGTACATTAATTTTATACACGGCCTCTGTGGGGCGAGGGGCGCAGCTGGCGCCAGGGGGCTTGGACCCCGCTTACAACTGCTTGCAGTTCTAGTTTTGTTTTGTTTTGGTGTGTTAACTCAGTTTTCGGCTGTGATTCCCGGAGCCCTTTCACCAGAGAAGAGCTCACGAACATCAGGGGAACAACTCCAGCAGATTTATTTCCCACTTTTCTTGCGTCATCAGTAGAATTATTGGACATTTTAGTGAAGGGCTCGCTTGTTGTTGTTCGCGCTGTGAAGTGCCGTAAGAGAGGGAAATGAGCCAGGTCGCTTGTGCGCCTCCGCCGGCACACTGCTACCAGCAACATTTCTCTCCAACGTGCGATGTCTGTGCAACAAACTGGACGAACTTCAGCTTCTGGTGGGGAAAAACAGTGCATGCTGGCCAACCGGATACTGTGTGTGGAGCAGACAAACCCAGACTCCCTCGTTATTGCTCTTGGTGACTTTAACAAAGGAAACCTCAGCCAAGAAAACCCCAAATACAGACTTTTTCGTTTATAAAGTGCCCAACCAGAGAGGGGAACACTTTGGATCACTGTTACACCACAGTTAGCAGTGCCTATCACGCCATCACACGCGCTCCACTGAGACATTCTGATTACGTCATGGTCCACCTGATTCCTGATTCAAAGCACTGGACCAGTGAAGCTGTAGAGGATCTTCAGGCGTGTTTGGACTGCACTGACTGGAATGTTTTCAGGACTGCTACCAACAATCTGGATGAGTTTACAGAAGCTGTGACGTCCTACATCAGCTTCTGTGAGGACAGCTGTATACCAACACGCACCAGGGTGAGTTATATCAATGACAAACCCTGGTTCACCGCCAAATTCAGACACCTGAGGTTGGAAAAGGAAGAGGCTTTTAGGAGTGGAGACCGGGCCAGGTTTAAGGAGTCAGGAGTACAGGTTTAGCAAGGCGATGCGAGATGCTAAACATCTGTACTCAGAGAGACTACAACACCAGTTCTCAAGAAATGACTTCAGACAGATCACCAGCTACAAACCTAAATCTCCCCACTCCATTAACGACTCACGCCTTGCCAACGAGTTGAACCAGTTTTACTGTCGCTTAGAAAGACAATGGGACAGACCCGACACCATACCCCGTCACACCACTGATCGGCCACAGTCCACCATCCCATCCCCCACCTCCTCCCCCTCTCTTGCCATCCTGGAGAGGGAAGTCAGCAGACTTTTCAGGAGGCAGAAACCCTGAAAAGCAGTTGACTCTGTCTGAGACTCTGTCTCCACATCCACAAAGCCTCCACCAACATCCCTGTCCCCAGAAAACCAAGGACCACACAACTAAATGGCTATAGACCCGTCGCCCTGACCTCTGTGGTAATGAAGTCTTTTGAGTGCCTTGTGGTGTTCCACCTAACATCAAACACAAACCCTCTCCTAGACCCCCTGCAGTTCGCCTACAGAGCCAACAGGTCTGTAGACGATGCAGCTAACGTGGCCTTTCACTTCATCCTCCAGCAACTGGACTCCCAAGGAACCTATGTGAGGATCCTGTTTGTGGATTTCAGCTCTGCTTTCAACACCATCATCCCGGCCCTGCTGCAGGACAAGCTCTCCCAGCTGGACGTTCCTGACTCCACCTGCAGGTGGATCACAGACTTCCTTATGGACAGGAAGGAGCATGTTAAGCTGGGAAAACATGTCTCTGATTCCAGGACCACCGGCACCGGTTCCCCTCAAGGCTGCGTTCTTTCCCCTCTGCATTCCTCCCTGTATACTAACAGCTGCACCTCCAGTCACCAGTCTGTGAAGTTCCTGAAGTTTGCAGATGACACCACCCTCATTGGGCTCATCTCTGGTGGGGGTGAGTCCGCCTACAGGTGGGAGATCGACCATCTGGTGACCTGGTGCACCCAGAACCACATGGAGCTCAACGCTCTGAAGACCGTGGAGATGGTCGTGGATTTTAGAAAGAGCACAGCCCCACCCTCCCCTATCATCCTGTGTGACTCCCCAGTCACCACTGTGGACTCCTTCCACTTCCTGGGCACCATCATCTCAAGTGGAAGCTGAACATCACCTCCCTCACCAAGAAGGCCCAGCAGAGGATGTACTTAGCTGAAGAAGTTCAGCCTGCCAGAGACAATGATGGTGCACTGGCGAGTAGGAAAGATTGCAGCTGACTCCTCCCACCCTTGGCACAAACTGTTTCAGACTCCTCCCCTCTGGCAGGAGGCTGTGGCCCATCAGGACCAAAACCTCTCGCCACAAACAGCTTCTTACCGTCTGCAGCTAACATCATCAACAAGGCCCGGGTCCCTCACTGACACTCCCCCCTTTCAAATAATACAAACGTCTCTGCAAAATTATTTCATTTCATATCATGCACAAACCTGGCACACTGTGTCGAAGAGTAGGTATTGGTCTGTGTGTGCACCAATCTGCAGGCTCCTGTCTTCTTCAATGTGTACAGCACAGTCCAGGAAGGCCAAACTGTTGTTGTGAACATCTTCTCGCGTGAACTTGATATTGCTGTCCACAGAGTTGATGTGTTCTGTGAAGGCTTGCACTTCCTGGCTTTTAATTTTGACCCAGGTGTCGTCCACATATCTGTACCAGTGCCTCGGTGCTGTTCCTCTGAAGGAGTTGAGGGCTTTATTCTCCACTTCTTCCATGTAGATGTTTGCCACAATCTGGGATACCGGTGAGCCCATGGCACAGCCATGCTTCTGTCTGTAGAATCCACCGTTGTACTGGAAATAGGTGGTGTTTAGACAGAGGTCAAGTAATTTACAGATCTGGTCAGGGCTCAGGCTAGTTCTGTTGTCCAGGGTGTTGTCTTGTGTTAGCCGTTTCCTAACGGTTTCTACTGCCTCTATGGTGGGGATGTACAGACCTGTATATTGGGGAGACTAAACAACCACTACACAAACGCATGGCTCAACACAGAAGGGCCAACTCCTCAGGTCAAGACTCTGCAGTCTACTTACATCTGAAGGACAGAGGACACTCGTTTGAGGACCAGGTGCACATTTTAGACAGAGAAGATGGATGGTTTGAAAGAGGTGTCAAGGAAGCCATCTACACCAGGGTCGAGAAGCCGTCATTGAACAGGGGAGGGGGTCTACGCCACCACTTATCCCCCACTTACAATGCTGTCCTTTCATCACTTCCCAGGAAACTCAAACGTAACCTATTGGCCTCAGGTGAAGATGCCAATGACGGTCATTCAGTCTTGGCCACCGGTAGTCCTAACGACTGTAACGACTGTCGTCACAGCAACCAGGAACACTAACGAACCAGTGGTATCAATGACCCCGGCAAACGACCCCACTGAGGTTAAATAGCTGAGTTTCCCTGCCAGTCAGTCAGAACTGAAGATGTCCTTTGGATGAGGGACGAAACGTCTTCCAGTATCTTCAACCAAGTCCAGTTGCCCTTGACTTTAACCTTCGTTGGATAACTATGACCTGGATGACTGAGAATCTTCATAGACTTCTCTGCAAATAGTTATATGATTTTTCTATTCTTCTTATATAACTTGCATTTGTTTATTCCATATTTATATATTTCTACATTATGTCAACTGTATGTTTGTCTACGTGTAGCACCTATTACCAAAGCAAATTCCTTGTATATGTAACACTACTTGTCAATAAAGCTCAATCTGATTCTGACGTTTTCAGCTAAACTGAGGCTTATTGTTGAGCATTTTCTCTCTACTCTCCTGCCGTTCTCCGGTGTTGTGCCATGCAGCCGAGATCTGCATGCATGCACGTCGCGGTTCTTTGTGGGTCTATTTCAAGTACCGTTTAAAAACGATATAATATTCTTTGTGTGGTTCATCAATGGTGACAAATGATCTGAACATTTCGTGAGGTGCGGACAACTCGTCACAACACCGGTGAAGCTGGGGTGTCGTCTCTTCAGCAAGTGTTCCTCTTCTGCCACTACACACATACATGCTTCACCTACACATGCACATGACCTTCACCTTCATTAAAAGTTAGGGCACAATTTTGGATTTATTCACACACTTTAAAAACCTTTATGTAAAGCTTCTTTCTTTTCACATTTTTATTTACAGCATTATATATTGATATTTATAATGCAATAGGCTGTAGATTAACTTATTGGGAGAAAGTTGGTAGTTCTATGTAAAATCAGACATTGAGCATCCCAATATTGCAAAAATGGTATGATCCTCTTTTCTTAACGCCACTGCGGAGCTTCAACTGTAAGATTGCCAGTTGAATCAGGCTCCGCCTATGGAAGCATCGGGGTATCTTCAGCTATCGGGGTCAGCTCTAATTTTGAATGTGAAGTTTAGACTGAACAAACTTTAACAGAAAAGAGTTCTTGGGGAGGCAGCATCTAGCAGCAATGAGAACAACATAGATAAATGATTTGTCATTTATGGATGATGACAATGAAATCAGACTTGGCATCTGTCTGGATATGAAAGCATGAATGAGGAATACTTTGTTTACTATTTTGAAATCTCCATATTTTTAGTTGTTTGTAGTGATTTGGCTGCTGACTGTGCGTTCAATAATAGTTTGAATAGTGTTTTAATTAATTGGATCTGCAATATATGTGATTTCAAAAATGACATCATACAGCACAAGCAAATATTTCTGCTTGAATTCAGCTCTAATCCTCAACTGTACCTTTATATTGAGTTTTTCATAACTTTAAACATAAATTGCTAACCATGTGGTAGCGCAAAACTCAGAAATCTTTAACTTCTATGGTGTTTAATTAGTCTCAACCCATGAACATAAAAACTAGATACGAGCGCACAGAACAGTATGGAAAAATTATAAATTAAACCAAATAATATGGCCTCTATGGGGGCCCAGTGTGCAAGTTTCGTTTCCAGGGGCACTCCAGAACACTGATCTATGCTTTCGTCGACACTCAGAAGGCATAAATTTCAAATGAATGATCGCTCGTCGATTGATTTCTGCACACAGTTGTATGTAGCTTGTGCCCTTTTTGTTTTTTACGCCCCTGCCTTTCAGACAGCCTGAGTCCGCTACTGGTGAGTGGATAAGCATCCTTGTGAGAGAGCATTTCTGCTCCATGTGCACAAATGCGATCCTCGTCAGGTTAACTTTTGAAACTTTGAAGGCAGGGGTGGAAAATACTTTTCCTGATGTCTGCGCTCCTTTGATTGGTCACTTTCAACACCCACAGTCTCCAGCCTGTCTCTGACCATTTTTTGGCAAGATGTCAGAGAAAGAAGAGGTAAAGTGAGGTACAGCCACCTCTACAATGCCCATAACACAAGTAAATCATCCATCTGTCCATCCATTATCCATAACCTCTTATCTGTGCCTATCCAAGTGACTAATCAAAGCAGCAGAGACTATCAGCCACTGTCTATTGACATTGTCTATTGTAAATTATATTTCATATTATAATGTTAATTGTTTTTAATGTACGCTTTTAATTTAATTGTTTGTCTTAGGTAAGAGAATCAGAGGATTTCTATAGTCTGTCTAAAGATAAACTGCTGGAGCTGATTCTTAGCGATGAGCTGGAGATAGAGGATGAACAGGTGAGTGATCCTCTTTCCTTTGTTTATTTCTTACATCCTTTTTTCATTACCTTATAAATATTTTTCAATAAATTGCTAATGCTGAGGCTTCCTGACTAGGCGTTATGGGGGTACATCAATGTCATAACCATTGAAAATGAACAGACTACGAGTCACAAATGCATCTTACATAATTGTAAACACAAAATATTAATTACAAATAGATTTAGGAATCTGCAGACTCCTCATGGTCCCCAAATATAGAAGTAAATCTAGAAATACACTCAAAATCCCCAAGCAAAGCCCTCAAGATCAGCTAATATTAAACACATTCTAGAAATAGATTCATAATCCACAAACTCCTCAAATTGAAATCGTTGACTACTACTAAACCAGAATTTGAATGAATGCAAAATGATTTGTCTGTGTGTGGGGTCATATTCTATTTGTTTTACACTTGTTTTCATAATTTTGACACTACTGTTTCACTGTCCAATAAAACATTGTACGCACTCTTCACAATTTGCAAACAAACAGTCTAACTTGCATTTTCAAACCACTGTTTAGAGACATGCTTACAAATTCTGTGCAAACCTCAGCAAGTGTCGAATCTGTGTTTGCCGATCACAGTGCATTAGCAGACCCCTTTGCAATTGTCTACAGATCTTTTTGACACTGTCTTACCTCAGAGTGTCTGACCAAGATTGGCACGTATTGTCAGCCAATTAGGGTTGGGCCGACAGACAATGCCATCTGCCTCTTCTTCTCTTCTCCCCACACTCTGACACACTCGCCTACACCTCTGGTATCTCACTGCAAACACACCAGCTTGCCCCACCTCTCTCTGTCTCTCTACCCCGTCTGCTCGACCTCACACAGTAGTATGTTTTATAAAGACAACTTGTGAGACGCATGTCGGCTCGTTAATGACGTAGCCTTTCAAACAGCCGAAACCAACATTTGCACTCTGTGTGTTCACTGTTGCTTTACCTGGTCCATGACTTGTAAAATATCCTCTGCAACTTGTAACGTAAGTTAATGAGATAAAAAGTTTTTTACCGAGTGAAATCTGTGAGAGTGAACACATGCACATAAGATGACCGCTAAATGGCTTTAACCAAAAATGTGTTTCCAGCATATCAACAGTTTATAGATCATGTTTTGTGCTGACAAATATGCAAGATGCATATTTAGTTATCATGACGTCAATTTACCCCCATAATCCATTCCACACTGCAGATTAAAAAGATTCAACAATTTATATCAGTCAGAATTAGGTTTATTGCCTATAGATTTACACATAGAAGGGTTTTGCCTTGCCTGCAAGTAAAGAACCATAAATATAAAAAGAAAATAAAAACAATACATAATCAGTTATTCAAATGCTGGAATGTGCAAAATATTGACCAGGGAATGTGCAAAGGTTTACAGTATTAGAGTTTAAAGAATATTTGCATGGTGCAAGATCCAACAGATGTGCCATACTTTTGTCACTAATATTCTCAAATTAGTCCCCATTGTTATTAAAAACCAATATTCAATAACCATTTTTGTGTTTTCAAATTTATTTGGTTCTATCCATTGTAGCATCGGGGGTGGTGAAAGCCACACTAACAAGGAATAGTTGATGATTTCTTTTGATTTGTGGCAGATTGTGTTTAACTCTGTTATGCGGTGGGTTCGATACGACGTGGAGGGTCGGCGTCACCATTTCCCAGAGTTGCTGAGGGGCATCAGGTTGGCTCTGCTGCCATCTGAATGTCTGCAAGAGGCTGTAGCCTGTGAAGAGCTGGTAATGGCTGACAAGAGGAGCAGGTAGGCTGTGTCAGGGACCTTATAAATCTATGGTTTCTGTCTCTCTTTTCTTCTCTTTATTTTACTTTGTTCTGTCTAAGATAAGAAAATGTGAAGTTACACATTTAAAATACCAGGAAATGTTACTAATAATTGTATTGTATATAGATAATTGTTCACCACAAAATAACCCAAAAAGTACTGCGCAGTTAAAGGGAACAGTAAGTGATTCTGCAGAAGGATGGTTGATATTATTATTATTATTATTATCATTACGATTATTATCATTAACACTAATAAATATCTGTACCATTATTCATTCAGTCTATACCAACATAACCTTTACTGTCTGTACCTATGTGTGTGTGTGTGTGTATATTGTGTAGGCTGCTCCCCCCTACCCCTCCCTCCCTCTTTATGGCTATCTCTCTTTCTCTCTTGCCCTTTTTTGCTCTCTCTCTCTTTCCCTCACCCCCAACCAGTCGAGGCAGATGGCCGCCCACCCTGAGCGATGGTTTATGCTCAGGCCTCTTAAAAGAAATTTTTCCTTGCCTCTGCCTTCACCCTCACCAGGTCATATAACTTTCTTTTCTGTTTCTACTCTTCAGACCTTTTCCTCTTTGGCTGTTTCTCTGCATCTCTCCTTCCTCACAGAGCCTGGTGTCCAGCACAATGTACCGGTGTATAGAATTCTCTCTGCCACTGCCCCCCTCCCACTGTCACTCCTGTGCACAAGCACCAACTTTTGCTGATTGGCATGCCGCTGTTTGTGTACGTTAGGTTGCCACTGATTTACCATGAGATGCCACAGCACCTTTCGCCGTTTATGTGGTATTTCCAGCGGCAACCTGGGATGCCACAGATTTACTGGGGCTCCGTTTTTCATTTTTCTGTTTGAAGAAAGACATTAATTAACACAGGGGGTCAGGGGTAGGCCTATATGAAAATAAAAGCCTATTTGAAGGACGGCCTGTAACATTATACAAGCACTAACGTTATACCAGCGTAAAGTTAGAAGAAAAAAATCAATCAATAAATAAACCTGGACCGAGAGGAATATGTTAGCAACGGTAGTTGATTATGAAAATATATAATATTGTGCATTTATTCATGTAAACAGCAAGAGCAGTACAGTTAGTTTAACCTAAGTAATTTTAGTGTGTGCAGAGTTGTTAATGTTAGCACTACATTTTTAATATTAAATTCATATTTAATGTGGTTTTCATCTAATAGAGCAATCTGTTTTGTCTTTCTACCAGCAGGTGGCAGTATTTAAATGAATGTCCAGTTTGTGTCTTTGTTAACTGTTTTAAATCCAGGTTACTGATACAAGTGTATTTATTGATCTTCATTTCATTTGCTTTTTATTATTAAGGCTTTATTTGTAAACTAGTTATCATCTTCATTCACCCTCAGCCCAGAGTTAAACCTGCATGTCCTGCTGTTCTAACCTGGTTCTAACACTGCTGTCAGCTTCTCAGCAGCTCTGGCAACAAACTCACATCAGAAATGTCATAATACAAATCATCTGTTCTGATCTACCACTGTGCTATATGTACTGTGTGAACACTGTTTTGGGAGGTGAGTGTATGAGAAATTGACTGAAACATAGAGAGCACAGCTACTCGCACTATTTTGAGATGTTTCACATCTTTCTTCTCCATTTCAGAATCAGAAGGAGCTTTATTGCTAAGTACGAGGAATTTGCTGTGGTGATAAGTTGCTACATGTAGACAAACATACAGTCAACATAAATGAATGTAGAAAGATAATAAATATGGAATGGAAGAACAACGTTACAGATATACAGTGGGGCCAAAAAGTATTTAGTCAGCCACTGATTGTGCAAATTCTCCTACTTAGAAAGATGAGAGGTCTGTAAATTGTAGACTTGCACCAGGCTGGGAAGAGTGAATCTACAATAGGCAAGCAGGTTGGTGTGAAGAAATCAACTGTGGGAGCAATTGTAAGAAAATGGAAGACCTACAAGACCATTGATAATCTCCCTCGATCTGGGGCTCCACGCAAGATCTCATCCCGTGGGGTCAAAATGATCATGAGAACGGTGAGCAAACATCCCAGAACTACACGGAGGGACCTGATGAAAGACCTGCAGAGATCTGGGACCAAAGTAACAAAGGCTACCATCAGTAACACACTACGCCGAGAGGGACTCAAATCCTGCAGTGCCAGGCGTGTCTCCCTGCTTAAGCCAGTACATGTCCAGGCCCGTCTGAAGTTTGCCAGAGAGTGTATGGACGATCCAGAAGAGGATTGGGAGAATATCATGTGGTCAGATGAAACCAAAATAGAACTTTGGTAAAAACTCAACTCGTCGTGTTTGGAGGAAGAAGATTGCAGAGTTGCATCCCAAGAACACCATACCTACTGTGAAGCATGGGGGAGGAAACATCATGCTTTGGGGCTGTTTTTCTGCAAAGCAGACAGGAAAACTGATCCGTGTTAAGCCAAAACCACCTCCTATCAGTGAGAGCCTTGAAGATGGAACGTGGCCGGGTCTTCCAGCATGACAATGATCCCAAACACGCCGCTCGGCAACAAAGTGTACCTATGATGAAAATTACAGACCTCATCTAAGTAGGAGAACTTGCACAATCAGTGGCTGACTAAATACTTTTTGGCCCCACTGTATGCATGTGCATTATTCTGGGTCTGGCCTGTGCGGATGTAACGCAACAGAAGACAATTTTGTAATAATATACTTATATAAACTGACAACATAAAAATATACAACAAAGATCAATTTACAAGGTAAATTTAATCATCACGTTACAACAGGGTTGTAAAATGAAATGAAGTTATACACTCCACTGTGTATAATATACAACACTTGTCAAATGACATCTGAAACATATTCAACATATACAGTGGTGCTCGAAAGTTTGTGGACCCTTTAGAATTTTCTGTATTTCTGCAGACTTAAAACATACTCAGATTTTAACACAAGTCACACAGAGTAGAGGAGACAAAAATACTAGTGGAAAAAGTATGTGAACCTTTGCTTTCGGGATCTCAGAAAAATAGTTGTTGATGATCATCGAGGCTGGAAAAGGTTAACAAAAACATCTCTAAAGAGTTTGGTCTACACCAGTCCACAGTCAGACAGACTGTGTACAAATGGAGGAAATTGAAGACCACTGCTACCCTGCCTAGGAAGGTCACCGAGGAACCCTGACTAACTTCGAAGCAACAAAATGCCTCTCTAACATTAGCTAATGTCAGTGTTTATGAGTCCAACATCAGGAGAAACAGAACAACAATGGTGTGCATGGCAGGGCTGCAAGGAGAAAGCCACTCCTTTCCTTAAGGAACATTCGTGCCTATCTGCAGTTTGCTCAAGATTACATGGACAAGCCAGAAGTCCACTGGAAAATTTATTGAGGATGGATGAGACCAAAACTTTTGGTTTAAATGAAAAGTGTTATGTTTGGAAAAAGGAAAACATTCCAGCATAATAACCTTATTCCATCTGTGAAACATGGTGATGGTGGTAGTATCATGATCTGGGCTTGTTGGACAGAGGAATGAGCTAAAATTCCTCCAGGTCGATGTGCAGGACTGTTCAACAGTTAATGGAATGTTTAGTTGCAGTTATTGCTGCACGGGGGGGGGGGGGGCACACCAGATCCTATAAACAAAGGTTCACATACTTTAACCACTATGCAACATATGGATTTTTGTCTTATTTGTGGAATTTAGTTCTATTGATCTACTTTGTGTGAAAATCTGATTATGTTTTAGGTTATATTAGGTTAGATAAGGTTCAGAAACTTCAACTTATCCACTGTTTTTTTTAAATAATTTAATTATGTGTTGCAAAGGCATCACTTTGTGTTGAGTGGTGCGGACATAAGGGCTCAGATAAGGGCTGTGACAATGCACAATATTGGATTCAAGAGAACAAGACGTTAGTTATTGTAACACTATTTTGAAGAAATCTTCAATGCTGAAATATTTGATATGATATTTTGTGCATTAAACACTTAAATTCCTGCATTCTGGAGAATTAAACCTTTCTCAAAGCATTTTCATTTGTTATTTAACATTTCTTGTTGCAAGCTATTTTTCATAACATTTTAACAAGTTATGCTTTCAAAAAGTTAAAGGGACAAAATCAGCCTGTCCCCAGTGTCAATGGTCAAACCTATGGTTTTTGGACTTTGGACTCTACAGACTTGCCGGACTTGAGAACCCTCGTAAAATGTTCTTACCTCATGGCTTCACAGTCAATGTTCTGCAGCCATAGATTGTAAATTTATGTTGGCATAATATTATCTCATAATATTAAGGTGTTTATTATTGCCATTGGAAATATGCAATACAGAGGTGCTTAATGTTTCTGAAAATTCAGTGCCATTGAAAGTATGTATTAAACATTTATTCAACATATAATGCTAAGACTTGTATGGATTCTCTTCACTTGCATTACACAATTGGAGTGTTGTATATTATACACACCGGAATGTGTATGGAGAAGAAAGAGCAGAAGAAAGAACAGATGATTTGTATTATGACATTTCTGATGTGAGTTTGTTGCCAGAGCTGCTGAGAAGCTGACAGCAGTGTTAGAACCAGGTTAGAACAGCAGGGCATGCAGGTTTAACTCTGGGCTGAGGGTGAATGAAGATGATAACTAGTTTACAAATAAAGCCTTAATAATAAAAAGCAAATGAAATGAAGATCAATAAATACACCTGTATCAGTAACCTGGATTTAAAACAGTTAACAAAGACACAAACTGGACATTCATTTAAATACTGCCACCTGCTGGTAGAAAGACAAAACAGATTGCTCTATTAGATGAAAACCACATTAAATATGAATTTAATATTAAAAATGTAGTGCTAACATTAACAACTCTGCACACACTAAAATTACTTAGGTTAAACTAACTGTACTGCTCTTGCTGTTTACATGAATAAATGCACAATATTATATATTTTCATAATCAACTACCGTTGCTAACATATTCCTCTCGGTCCAGGTTTATTTATTGATTGATTTTTTTCTTCTAACTTTACGCTGGTATAACGTTAGTGCTTGTATAATGTTACAGGCCATCCTTCAAATAGGCTTTTATTTTCATATAGGCCTACCCCTGACCCCCTGTGTTAATTAATGTCTTTCTTCAAACGGAAAAATGAAAAACTGAGCCCCGGTAAATCTGTGGCATCCCAGGTTGCCGCTGGAAATACCACATAAACGGCGAAAGGTGCTGTGGCATCTCATGGTAAATCAGTGGCAACCTAACGTACACAAACGTCGTAATGTTACTAGCTGCCGATGCCACTATTTGAACTAGCTGTCTCTGGTTGGAACAATTTTGTGTGGCAAGGTTTAGACCACTTTCTTAGTGTTCCATTTAGAGCGGGCTGTGTAAGAAAACTGGAGAGCTAGCAAACTGTGAGAAATATTCTGTGTATTGTATAAAGTGTATTGGATTACAATCACTTACTATCCATTTAATAAGCAATACATGGCTTCAATAATAACAATACTTCTAATTATTATAGAATTAATGATTATGTTACTATATTATTACACATAAAGTATTAACATTACTATACTGTATATTATGGCAGCACACACGCTCTTGCCTGATAAGAAATATCTATAGGCCAGTTGAGAAAAACCTTTTGACCCGCAAACACATGATACTCATTGTGTTTGTCCTTGGTGAAATATTTGCCGTAAAAAACACTGAATCACACAAACAATCTAATATGATTGAGTGGCCTCTTCAGTGATCTCATAGCTTTGTCAATGGACGTGCAAATGAAAATGACTGTATAATTCCTCTTTTCTCCTCTCTGCTTTTCTCTAACTTCCTCCGCTCTTCTACTCTTCTCTACTCAGTACTGCGTTCTAAATTGGAGGAGTTCATTTGAGTTAAATTTTCAACTCAGTCTATGTTTTAACACTCCTCTCCAGGTCAATTGTAGAAGAGGCAATGCAGTGTAAGAAGAAAATCCTTCAGAACGACGGAGTAGTGACTAGTCCCTGCGCTCGACCACGTAAGGCCGGACACACCCTGCTTATACTGGGAGGCCAGACCTTCATGTGTGACAAGATATACCAGGTGAAAGACAGACACGAAGTCCTTTATACTTGGATGACCTGTTTTCATGTGTGACATGATACTACATGTGCTGTATTAAGTATAAGGTCTACTGTAGACTTGGTTTAAAGGGCATATTCATTTACTTGCAGTGTTGTGTATTTAATCCTAGCTATGCTTAAATGTTATTAAATTATTTCAGTTAGCAGAGCATACTCACTGTTAAAAGACTGAGTTCAATTACTGCCTGCAGAGGAACACTTCCAAAAAACATAATCTGTTAATTAAAATGGACTGAAAATGTTTTGTACATTATGAAACGTAAAATATCACAAAGACGACCCCGAGCTGTTGAGCAGCTGAAATCCTACATCAAGTAAGAATGATGACCCTGTCACAACTTTTTTGAAATGTGTTGCTGGCATCAAATTCAAAATGGGCATATTAAATCTTAAATTTCATATTCTAAAAATACAGCCTTAAAAGTATTAAATTTGGTTTACAAAGGTCTTAATTTTTTTCTTGTCCTTTGTAGGATTAAATAAATGCCGTAACGTCATAAATATATATTTTTCTGTGTGTGTGATTGGATGTTATACGGCAGTACAGGTAATGTTACTGTTTATGTCAGTGTTTAGCTTTACGCTCTGGACTGTGGAGTGTTTGTGGTGCACGAGCTCTGGCATCCAAGCTCTGGTGCAAATCAGTCAGTTGTTGGGAAAGAAAAAAAAAAATCTCTGAAGTGCTACTGACAAGCTAACATTAGCCCATCGACTCAGAATGGCCAAATTTCTGAAGTTCAGAAACAAGTTGGTGAGGCTGGCGCTGAGGTTAGCACAACAAGCAGATCGGCGTGCGTCTCACTGTGGCCAGTGCTAATGAAACAGCAGAGCTGGAAGACCTGCTGCAGGTTCAGTGAATGTTACAACAGCAACGTAGAGACAGTTGTGTAAACGAGGAGACGAGCGCCCTGTTTCAGAAAGCAGGCTTACCAAACTCTGAGCTCATCCCTGAGCTCTGGGTTGATTGAGCCTGAGGTGGGAAACTCAGAGTTTTTGGTTTCAGAACAGCTGATCAGAACAAGTTCAATCAACTCAGAGTATGTTGAGCCTGATGGAAGCGCGTGCGTGGGGATGAAAAAAAGCCATCAATGGAGCTCCAATACTACGATTCACCATGGCAACAGGTAAATAAAGGCAGATCCTCCATTTTAATCGAGTGGAGCTAGAAATATGAATACGTGCCAGCGTCGACCCTGATAGGCTCTAAAACGCAGGAGTGGAAGAAGAATCAATGTCGGGGGCAGAGCTAGACTGTCAGCAAAGTGGAGCTTCATCGTAGGCCCACCTGCTACAAAGACATATTAACCAAGTTTACATGACCCCAGGCCAAAAACGCTGTATTCATTTTCCTCTGCCAACAGCAAGGCTAGGCTGAATCGAGTGAAAACTTTTAGGGAGGCATGATCATCAAAATGAATGATGCATCACCGACATTTTCCACCACACGATGAAAACAAATACAGAACTTGGCATAGCAGGCTGAAAACCTACGGTTATCAAAAAGACCAAAAAGATTATTGGCTCTATCTTGCACCCAGCACAAAGCGGCGCAGAGAGCAGTGCAAGTGTCCGGTTTCCAACTGGCACAGTTGACATTTGCACGCCAAGCGATCAAATAGCGTAACTTCATTGATTATTAAAATCTCCTGACATGCTGACAGGATCAGTCAGAATCTGATGTTATTTCATGTTCTGTGTTCTTCTCCACATCAAAAAGCTCTCACATAGTCCAGGTTCATCCAGTGAAACTGTTTGGAGTAAAGCAGCTGACCTCCTGATCAATCCTCCATCAGAGCTTCTAAATAATTAGACGCTAAAAGTTGAATTCTGTTTCCTCTGGAGAGTTTCCTCTGTCCTCTGTCATGTCAAGTTAATAACTTTTTTCTGTTTTGCTGCTCAAATACCCCACGATGTTTGTTGTAACTTTATTGCGCACATGACTTTAAAATGACTGACAGCAGCCTCTCTAATCATGAAAGTAAATCGTTAAAGAAAACACTCAAAACAGTCAAACTAGCAAAATTGGAGTTGGACACGCCCCAAACGCAACTGCACCATGCAGGGTAGGGCTGTGTGTGTGTGTGTGTATATATATATATATAAAATAAAGATTTGCCCCCTCGCCATTTTTAACTGCCCTGAAGTGCCCTCAGTCACTTCATCCTGGCGCCGGGCCTGCCCCAGACTTACTCCGAAAGTAGAGTCTGTCTGCTTGTGCTGCCGGAGCTGCCTTTCTACTAAATGTTTTTGCTTACACCAGAAGTGCTGCAGTGCGTCCAGGAAGCGTCCCAGCGTCAAGCAGCACAGCGCAGATGAACCGGGAAGGAAGTCAGACACACAAAAAAACAAACAGACAATTTTCAAAATAAAATACCCGTTACAGACTTCAAATCGTATATCAACAATAAACACAGTTAAATCAGACAAAAAAGAAACATTTTTACTGCGTAGCTACTTAATTATAGTAGAAGCACAAAAGGCAAGCACTTATCACCAAATCAACAAAATCTAAACATGTCAAACGCTCTTATTCTGAAATGCTACCTGAGGTAGTTGCTAGATACACCCATCAAGATGAGAAACGAGAGCTTTGATTAATGTATTAGAAGCACAAAAAGGACATTAACGTGGGGCAGGCTGCACGCTTCGCTGCAGAAATGCTCCTGAGAGGCTTCCAGTGGAAGTTGACACCGTAAATAAACCACTGCGCAGCCTAGGCCTCTCACTCAGAATTCCCATGATGCATGAGGGTGAAGGGAGTTTTGTTAAAATGTGCTAATAAGTTTGCCATTTGTTTAAAATACAAATGTTACTTTGTAACTTTGTGCCCATTACATTTGTGATTATGATTATGAAAATAGGCTACAGATCAAATATAAGACACAGTTTACTCATGAACCTCTGATTGTAAAGTCATTAATTATTCTTTTGCAGTGGAAAATGTGTCTATAGGTCTAAGTTTTAGACATCTATTTTACATTAATAAATCTTGCTCATTTCGTATTTTATTAATGCTGTCAAAACATCATTCAGACTATCAGCAGGTAATAATGGAAAACTCACTTTTAAACCTTATTTAGACCTGTTTGTTTCAGCTGCACCACAGTCATCCTCACTCAGAAATAGTCACATTATCTCCGGTTGATAAATACGAATGTTCCAATCATGTGACTAGCCTACAATATGAAAGATTAGGCTACTGTTCATTGATCAGTTTTATAGGTTACATATTAAACGGTGATTACTGCAGTAATGTAGCCCACAGTAGGTGTTTCAGTGCAACAGTCCACAGAGTCGCAACGTTATACCTAAAGACGGACACAGATTTTATTCTGGGTTGAGGATAAATCCACGTTGTGCGAAGATCTGTCCTTACATCGATGACAGATTATCATAAAGTTAAAGATCATGTTTGGGTAAAAAAACTAATGGCATATCTAACAGGGATTTTAAGGTTTTTAAAGATGTAAATGCATTCAGATACGTGCTTTGATATCGACAGCATGAATGAGGAAATGAAACGGTGTGTCAGACAGCCGCCTCAGGCTCTGCAGGAGGGGAGGAGTCAGAGAGGAACTGACGGTTTTCCAACTGCCGGAGTTACTGATCTAGGGATTATCTGATCTCGCTCTCTGAAACAGAAAATCCAGAGTTTCCCTCATCTCAGGCTCAACATACTCAGAATTTTCACTAATCCCGCTTTCTGAAATGGGGCCGAGGTCCAGTCTGTGTGTCGGCATTGAGTTGTAGTGGGGTAAAGTTCTGTGAATGGAAACATCCAACATGTTAACGCACATTAACTTGGTGCAGAAAATGTCTCCAGAATGCAGGTAATTAAGTGTTTAATGCTCAAAATTGCCTAGGGGACGACTCCCGCCCCCATTTATATATTTCAGCATTGAATATTCCAATCATTTTAATTTTTCAAAGTTGTCTATGTGCTATTTTCAATTAAATATTGGGTTTCAATGTTTTCCACATTATTACATTTGGTTTTTATCTACATTTTACACAGTGTGCAAACGTTTTTGGAAACAGGGTTGTAATTAGAATGTCTGATCCAGGAGCTGCTGCAGGTGAGTAGAGCCACAAGCTGTCTGCCTTAAGTAAGACAATGAAACCCACCTTGCTTCAGGTCTATGCAGAGCCAGCCCTAGACCTTTGGGGGCCCTAATCAATCGTTACTAAATATGACAGAGAACCAACACCTCTTGTTTTTAAATAAGACCCGAAGAGGTAAACCTGCCATGTTTGTTTAGCTCTACAACACCAAAGCAAATTTCTTAAACCTACTTGGTAATAAAGCTGATTCTGATGAAAAACAATAACTAGACAATACTCTATATTAATATATCTACTGTTTGATGTCCAACAGGAAACATGATACCACCAGTGCTACTGAGCTTAATGGCAGTGCAACACCCAGTAGACACTGATGAACTTAGTTCTATAATAAATAAAAAGACTGATAAACTGATTATGACTGACCTAAGCTCAAATCTTTAATAACAGCCAAACAAGAGTTTAAGAGACAAAAACTGCAAAACAGTTGATAGCATAATTTTGTCTACCAGCTTTTATGAGTGATCTGAACAGGTAATGCTTAAACTTATGAGCGCTGTCAGCTTCATGGATGATAGCAATGATGGAGCTAGAGGTGGAGGATGATGGACCTGCTATAAAATTAGGGCTGACCCCAATAGTCGAAGATTCAATGCTTCGATGGGCGGAGCCTGATTCGACTGTCAATCTCACAGTCGAAGCTTCGCAGCAAAACGAGGATCATGCCATTTTGGCGATATGGGGATATGTTTTCTCCCAATAAGTTAATATACAGCCTATTACAATATACATTTCAACGTTTAATGCTGTAAATAAACATGTAAAAAGAATAAAACTTTCAATAAATGTTTGTAAAGTGCGTAATTAAATCCAGAATTGTAACCCTAACCCTGGGTC